CTGCTCCATCAGAGTTTGAGGTAGTTAGTTTATTGTGCCAACCTGGCCGATAAACACATGTGGGGTTAATTGAAGGGCGAAGGGATAAATGGCTCAGTGAGCCTTGCCTTTCTAGTTCTCAGGTCTCTTGCTTTCTGATGGCGGGACCAGGGTACAGCTGCCTTAGCCAGTTCCTGCTTCAGCTGGCAAGACTGACTTCCTGCAAGACATCCCCAAGGAGAAGGAACATGAAGGGCAGAGAGGTAAATGGCTCTGTGAGCCTCGCCTTTCTAGTTCTCGGGTCTCTTGCTTTCTGATGGTCAGACCATGGTGCAGTTGCCATAGCCAGTTCCCTGCTTCAGCTGGCAAGGCTGATTTCCTTCAAGACATCCCTGAGGAGAAGCCACATGGACCTACCCCGATGCAGCCCTGGGTGGTGGAGTACCCGTGTCTAGACCCCTGCCAGTGCTGAGATGTTTATACGTTCACTGACCCAGCTTTCCTCCTGCAGTTGGTATCATTGCATGTGTTTTGTGAGATGGAAGAGGACTTTGTGGATTGGTGTTGGACATATAGGTTAATGGATTAATGTTGGACTTGTGGGCTTGGCCAGTTCTGGGATGTTTTCTTGATGAGCACTTAACCTTTATCTAAAGCTCTCTCTTATACATGAGTTTCTGTGGATCTGTTTCTCTAAAGTACCCAGACTAGGTACACAGAATGGCGATGGGCCATCCAAAGAGTAAAACGCACATCACACAGCTGAAACCTATTCCATCAGCCCATGGACTACGGCAGTCTGTGAGAGATCTCCAGGCTTCGTTCGCGCAGCCAGTGACCCCGCAGCTGAACACTATCTGATACCGGGGAAAGTAAGATTTGGTGCTTATCAGGAGGTGTGTGGCATGGTTTAGCTATTTTACTAAATAATAAAACAAATAAAAATGGGCAACCCTTTGAAGAAAAGAGAACAAAATTATATCCAGAGCAAAGATAGAGCCCCAAATCTACCTTCCCCCCCCCCCCCCCCCCCCCCCGGGTTTTTAAGGATTTACATCTCTTTCTTCAAGCTGAACAGATTCAATCAAATCCATTTTGAAGTGTGCTAGGGGAAACAAATATGGGGAAGGCATATTCCTTATTTTTATATAGCTTTATAAAAAATAGTTATGGAAAGTTTGGAATTTCACTCATCCTCTTTTTGTGTATATGATCTATATACACACATACGTATATATACATCTATTTACATATAAGATTGGTATGTTTCTATATGCACATAGATTATCTTATGTATCAAGGAATAACAGTATATACCCTGTTTTCCTAAAGATAAGACAGTGTCTTATATTAATTTTTGCTCCCAAAGATGCGCTAGGTCTTATTTTCAGGGTATATCTTATTTTTCCATGAAGAAGAATATGGTACACATTTATTGTTTTATTAAAAGAGATCTCGCACCTCCTGTCTGCTCTGGCTGCACTGCAGCCAACAGTAAGCTGCGTGGCGGCACCCACCGCTAAGGTCCAGAGTCCAGAGTTAAGGTAGCTTTTGTGGGGGACCATAATTTCGGGGGGTGCCTTATATTTCAGCGAGAGGCAAAACTATAAGTTGGTCTTATTTTCGGGGGATGTCTTACTTTCGGGAAAACGGGTACTATGTTTTGTCTGTATTTGATCTGCTTTTTAGCAGCTCTACTTGTGAAAGAGATGGATTTACACATTGCATTTTGTGAAACCCCAGGTCCACAGAGTTTTATAGGGGCAGGGGAACCAGGGGGAATAAAATAAAATCATAGACTAGCCCTCTGTTTTGACATCTTTGAAACACTGGCAGTCATAATTCAGTAGGATATTACTGTTCTCTAATTATTTACCTGTCATAAACAAAGCAAAGTGATCTACGAGCTCTAAAGTTAAAAAGAGCTTGGCTTCAAAGCAGTTGTACACACTCCAGTGTCTTTTTTCTCTTATGTTCTCCACAGTCTAAAGTAGGAAACACCACACGCCACACCTTGGAACTTCTCTTGTGTAGAATTTGGGAGAAAATCTTTCCCTTGTTAACTAGAACTTCTTTTTACTACATGACCAGGCACTCTGAGGGCAACCAGCAATAAAGGATCAGCTCCCCAAGCTTAAAACACAAGAAAACGGTCTTTTAGGCACATTTACGCTGACATTTCTAAAAGTGCAGCAAAGATTTAAAATCATATCCATTCTGACCCCAGTGTATAACTTTTGGAAAATCTAACATTGTTTCCTTCTGGGTTTTTCCTTAAAATTATTTTTCTTTCATTCCAACTCAAATAATAGAGTTTAAAAACATATTTAAAGCTATCTCAATTTGCTGTCTTCATCTTCAAGGGAAGCAAAGATTAGAAATGTAATGTGAAGTTTTTATGAGATTTTTGAATTTTAAAATTATTATTAGCATTAATAACCTTATATCACAAAGTTGCAAAAGGAAAGGTACAAAACCTGGGGGGGGGGTGCAGCAGGGCATGAAAAAGAAATAGAATGAAAGGGCATACAATTCTTCAATTTGCTTTAATAATTTTAAGAAGGAATTGGATGGCCAAGATAAAGACATATCTTAAGGTTTAGGAATGCATACAAGCTTAAACTTGATCTTTTGGTTGTAATAGTGTCAAAAGTTAAAATAGTATTTATAAGTTCATGTGGTAAACACCAATTCCAACTTCAAGTGACCTCTTTTAAAATGAGTCTTGACCAAAATACTTTAAAAAATATATTAAACAATTTCCCTTCAGTCCCTATCATTAAAAAGACCACTTAGGTAGTTGTATATATAGTAGACTTAAAATTAAATGAAAACTTACGTCTCTAAGTTGTCACCTTCAAGAACTGTCTGGACTGGTAGGTAGCCAAGCCGGGGGTGTTTGGCAAAGTATTTCTTTGACCTGAACTTGTTCTTCAGCACCTTTGTGAAATCTCGGACATCTTCCCCAGATGTGGTCTACAATGTTTAAAAAATTAAAATGAAATGAGATAATTATTTATAATGACAGTAAAGCACATATAAATGGGTATCATTAAAAGCCAGGCATTTGGGGTCATCTTATTTCTTTGGGGGATAACAAAGTATCATATGAACACATTGCTGGATGAGAGACAATTCCCCAAACTCCAAACTCCTTGTCATCCAGTCCAGACCGATCACCATGATGCTGTAGGGCAGGGTGCTACCTTTGAGTCTCTTAACTGTTTCGGGAGTAGAAAGCCCATTCTTTCTCCTGCAGAGTGGCTGGTGGTTTCGAACTGCTCACCTTAGTTAGCAGCCTAGTGCATAGTCACTGCACCACCAGACTCCGGAGACCATCACCCTAATATACCCATTGAATTTGGCCATGAAGCTACTCCTGGAGGTTACCTTCCAGCCAAATCATAGAGTGACTTACAAAACAAACATTATCAACCCTGAGAATTAGGTCCCTGAAAAACTCAACTCAATGAGATCACTTAACGGGCAAGGCAGAGAAGGAAAAGCAGTGAAAATCACGAGCACGCATTACGAAGACTGCAGACAAGGTCATGGGGAGAACGATAACTAAGTTATGGCCTACTCATCCACTGAAACATGATAGCGCATTAAAGAATCAGAAGCTAAAGCAATAGTATGGATCGACGGTTTTCCTCCTCTGAGTCAAGCGTGAAGCTTATGACAAGGTAGCAGTACTGGTTTCTTAGATGAGACAAATGCATCATAGTAATATACTCGTATTATGTAATATTATACATAGAAACATCATAGTGCCAGGTATTAACTCCAGGGGAGAATGGATGAGGTCTATACCAGAGCTCTTTATATTGGAAGAGAACATATACTTGGCTATTGGTGGGCCAAGATGCTTTAAAATGTTGTTCAGACCTTTGTATGCCAACTGAATTTCTCTGTATTTGATATATTCGTTACAGAAAAGTAAGGTTCCTGTCTCAAGCGATACTTGTAGCTCTGCCCAACTCGTCTTTCATCCTACTAGATTTCAAAGCCTAACCACCCTCACGTCAGTCCTGACACAGTGATGATATTATAGGACAGAGGAGAACTCTCTCTTTTGGTTTCTGAGTCTGCAAATTTTTCCAGGAGCAAATCATCTCATGCTCTCCTGTGGAGCAGCTGGTTGGTCTGAATGACTGACCTCGTAGTTAGCAACTTAATGTGCACCCCACCACACTATCAGGGCTCCTCTGTGAGATGTACCTCTTGTAATCTGAGGCTCTAGTACTAGGCTCCATCAGTATTTTGGAAAGTTGTATGCCCTTGACAAATTGAGCCCGTTATCATTATGTAATTCTGTTATCTCTTCCAATAATCACTGATCTGAGTCTACTTTGTCTTACATTTCCAAAGCTTGATTTTTCATGGTTTTTTTTCCTCTCCCTTTAACCTTTACCTTTTATATTTAAAATCCAATTCGGATACAAAGGCTATCGCTGCTGTTGTTGGGTGCTGCGGAGTGCAATCTGCCTGAGACCACCCTCTGTGCTACAGAACCAAACACCGCCTGGTGCTGCGCCGGCCTCACAAATGTTAGGTCTAAGTCCACTGTCACAGCCACTTTGTCACTTTGTCAATATACATTGCTAGGCCCTACGTTGATTGCTGGTCTGCCAATTAGTTTGATTTAATAATATGGATGAATTTTAAAGCATATGCTGAATGAAAAAATATATATGCATATATATGTGTGTGTATACACACACCGTATATACTCAAGTATAATATCAGCTGAGGCACCTAATTTTACCATAAAAACCGCATTAAAAATGTGCTGAAAAACTCGGCTTATACACACGTATAGATGGTATATAATAGAACCGATTAAACTGTAAAAATGGACATGCTAAATGAGAAAACCCAAACTAGTTGCCACTGAGTTTGGCCCCATGTTTAGATATTTATGTCAAAGTAGAACGATGCCCCGTAGAGTTTTAATGGCTGTTTCCCCTGGAAGTGGATTGCCAGGACTTTCTTCCTATTAACCACTATATCAGCTCATCTCCCCCAGGAGAGATAGACAGTTCCATGAAGGGCACGCTGGTTGTCAAATACAACACAAAAGTTGAGATATGTTTGGCCTCCACCACATGTGTGCTGGCTCTGTGCTGATTCTTACACTACGTTTCACCACGTCAATACTGCACATTTGGTTTAATACATGTTTCCATATGCACATAATGCAGCACACACAGACACACACAAAACCAGCTGTAAATCCACAACCACCAGACTGGCAAAATTTTTTAAAATTACAACCAGAGAGTAGAAAAAAAGTAGCATTCTCACTATTGGTGAGAAAGTGTCATCGATTAAATTGTGTCCTTGAAAAATATGCGTTACCAATCTTAACCCACACCCACAAGCAGCTCCACGAGAGAAAGATGGGGTTCTAAGCTCCTGTGAAGATGTAGTTTCAGAAACTCTTAGGCAGCGGTTCTGAATCTCCCTCCTGCCGCAACCCTTTCAGACAGGTCCTCATGTGGTGGTGACCCACCCAACCATAACATGATTTTTGTTGCTACTTCATCACTGTCATTTTGCTACTGTTATGAATCGGGTGACTCCTGTGGGAGGGTTATTCCACCCCCAAAGGTGTCACGACCCACAGGTTGAGAACCGCTGGTCTAAGGAGTAGTTCGGCTCTGTCCTATAGGGTGAGCCAATATCAGTGTGAACTGACTCAATGGCATAGGTTTGGATGACAGTAGCTATAATCACATTTTGGAATGGACTTTCTTTGTTATGTTCACCAGGAAATATCAGTGTAACCTGTGTTTTGAGCCAAGGAACCCTGGTCATGTAGCACTGGGCTGCTGCTAACTGGGTCAGCAGTTCAAAGCCACCAGTCACTCCAAGGGGAAACGATGGGGCTTTCCACTCCCTGAGAGAGTTACAGTTTCAGAAACTCGCAGGGGCAGTTCTACCCTGTCCTATAGGGCCACTATGAGTCGGCATCGACTCGATGGTATGAGCTTGGTTTTTGGTTTGGTGTCTTGAGCCAATCTCCTTTTGAGATCTAAGAACAAAATTAAGCAAACAGAGAAGGAAGCAGTGGACATGAGGGAAGACAGCTGCCAAGACAGACTAATACAATGAGGGGCCAAGTCCATGATTTAGACTTCCATCCCCTAACCTGGGAAATAATTTCTGTTTAACAACACATACACACACACATGCACACACACGATAAACACAATGCAACAGGATTAGACACGAAATATATTCAGCAATGATGCTATTATATATATCTATATATCTTTATTTATAAATATAGATATATATACATATTTAATTTTCAGTTGAAAATAGCAAAACTAGCTCATTCACCCAATGGGCCAAAAACCAAAATGAGTTTTGGAACTGTAATTGCTTGATTCCTATCACTCACACATGTGTAATGCACTATTAAAAATCTCGTGCGGACAGTGTATTCTGGATATTGTAATGTCTTTGCCACCGGGAAGAAAGCAAGGTGAGCCACACAGCCGATGGGGGCTCCACACACAAGGAAGAAAAGATTCTCGTCCGGAAAGGAGGAAGCCGCAGACAAACGGGGAAAAAGCAGGACCCCAGTGGCACTCTAGTTTGTGGAGAAGGTGGTTTGTTTCTTTGACCTTTCCCAATCATACAGCCAAGTAATCATTTACGTTTGGACATGCAATCCACAGAGGTCACCATGCTTGGTAAAGCAGAATGTCAGTGAGAATGAGGAAGACCTTTGATGAGATGAGATAGCGGTTAAGGAAAATCCTAATTCTCTAAGCCTGAAGGAGGAGATACCAGTCCAAACTTCTTAAAAACGTAAACTCTTTCATTTTCCCTTCATTAAAAATTATCTATAGTATCGTCCTGTCTCACCATCCGATGCCAGATCTTTCCTTGAGTAGCAGAATAGTGAAGCTCATGACCGGCAGCTGTGCGGACATGGACTCTCCCCGAGAAGAAGCTGTTCTGGGGGGGAGAAAAGCAGGCAAGCACTCTCTAGCGAACATGGTGCAGGAGGGCGAGGCTGGGCTGCTAACCCCCAAGGGCGCCGCCCCAACCCACCAGCCGCTCTGCAGGAGAAAGATGAGCTGGCTGCTCTTGTGAAGATCACAAGTCTTGCTGGAAAACTCAAGAGAGCAGTGGTACTCGGTTCAACTGGTCGCCGTGAGGCAAATCAACTCAACAGCAGTGGGTCTTTGGGGCACGAGACATTGATGGTTTTGAAGACCTTTTCACGGAAAAAAGCAGCACGAAAGAGTTGGAAGAAAGACATTTTTATAGATGCTGCCCATGGGACGGCGAATGAAGCAGAAAGGTGCATCGCCCTTGGCAAAGGCTGTACAGACCTTTGGCAATGGGGGTCACGCAGGCAGATAATCATGTTCAGAGAAGTCTATCCGGATGGCCTTCAAAATGTGTGGGAAAAGGACGATGTTTTTCAAGAAGGCCTCCATGAACACAAACATGCTTTAGGCGCTAACGTATGTCCAACCGCATTCTTGCTAGACGCCGTCAACTCAGCTCCAACTCCTCATGGTCCTACAGCAACAGAACCACACGCTGCCGGGTCCAGATCATTGACACGCACCCATCCATTGTTGTGGCCACGATGTTTGAGTGCCCTGCCACTTACGTGGCTCATTTCCAACCAGCACATTGAGTAATGTCCTATTGTGCTCTGTAAGGTTTTCACTGGCTCATTTTTGGAAGTTGATCACTAAACCTGCCTTTGTGACTCTGTCTTTGGTGAACACATAACTGTTAGGATATAGCGAGTCAGTCAATAAAGTAATGAGCTCTAAATTGTACTTGAGCTATCTCTATACCTATGGCACCCTGGGACACAGTGGGGTGTACGCTGGGTTGCTGGGACGTCAGTGGTTTAAACCTACCAGCTACTCCATGGGGTAAAGCTAACGATGCCCGCTCCGGAAGAGTCACAGCTGCAGAGCCCTTATGAATCAGCGCTC